CCATTTTCGCTTTGTATATTCGGAAACCCAAAATCTAATGATCCAAAATTATTTTATAATCTTCGATTTGAAAAGTAAAAGTTTCCACATTTAATAGAAAACACTTGACTTGTAACTCGAAACCAATGGCTGTATTCATTTAAATGAAGTATTAATCAATTTCACGGCCTATGAACGTAATCTTAGAAATACAATAATTCAATGACTGCACACGCATAGTGGAGTAATAGGTATGTACTAGCTTTGTTATATATTATAATACCCAATATTTAACTAATATTCTCAAAACGTACCTAATTTCTACAAATCTGACATAATTTGCGACTTCGCCAATATATCCCCACAGACGAATTGCCCCCCAGAAGTATTGTTAGAACGGTATGACGAAAATGAATTAGCGAGTTTTGAAGCAGGTCAAGATTATGAGAACCAAACTCAAACATTCAGGATCGATATATCGAATGAAAGACGTGCATAAAGATTTAGTTTCGTATAATTTTCTTTTAACAAATGATCAATAGAAAACTGTATAATTAACAATATAGCATATTAACAGATATTGTTAGCGTTGTAGGTAGTATTTGACATATACTTTGGAATGTTTCTATAAACAATCTCTGAACTGACACAAAGCAGCACAATAAACGCAATACAATTTGATCTATGGGGTCCAATAAAGGTGTCGCTATTAGTCAACATGTAAAAGACATAGCTGGTCGAGTTGTCTGGAAATAAAATACACCAATCTACTGAACCCCACATGGTACTCACAGCCCATACCAAAATTAGCTTTATTTTTGTGTCACTCCCTCAGCGCAAAACACCATTTTAAGATAATAGATACACTATGAGAGATTGCCAAGCATTACATGAAAAAGTTATAATCTGTGTAACATTTGTATACTAGTTTTAGCAAATAAAAGTTTAATTACAAATAAGGGCAACATAAAAGACAGCATTTTGGCAATGAGGTTGTGACGTTTTACACCATCCAATGTTTTACAATTTTTAGAATAATTGAGATTCATAGAGAGATTAAACAGAATATAATGACAGGGCCGTGTTCACCAAGGATTAGTGGACACTGTTAACATGGTAATTCTGTGCGACTGATCATTGAAATTTAACAAAATAAAGCAGTCAATAAATAAATGTTTATAAATATCTAATAAATACCTACAGGGGCTATATTTACAAGAAGCCTTCTCGCGGGAGGAGGTCTCCAACTTTGAACGAATATAATACAGCTTTATCCCAATGGGATATCAGGTATAAATTAAAAAATAAAGTAAAGCTGCCGGCTTAACGTGTATTACAAAATAATACTGACACCAGTAAAATACTCTAACCATGCGATGGAATGTGCTACAGCAATAGGAACTTCGCTACTCGCTGCTTCACAAACACTTCATAACCGATCAACGCTATCTGTTTACAACAATATGTAATATATACAATAACCACTGAATTACTGTAATTGTGGACGCTGGACCCGAGCTATACAGTTCTGCTTAGCAGCTTACGTTTGCAATATGCAAAAGACAGCTTTGATACTGGAATATAATCTATCTAAGAATAAATAATCTGAGTTACAGGCCCACTTACTACTTTTGTCTCATAGGAAACAATAACACACAGTAGAACCATGACGGAAATATAGTACGATCACTCTTCTCAAATAACCACAACTGGGAGGATGGTGAAATAAATTCCTATAAGAATCTAAATACTGCTACATGGAATGAAATTGTGTGAGCTTATTTGAGCAGAGTGAGTACCCGGTAACCAGTTGTACAATCCAACAATACAATATAACAACTTCAAATGTGAGCGAGTAGCATATTATATAAAGAAATGGCCGCCCATTTCACAAGTCCAACATACAACATTAATTAGAACATTATATACTTTCACAAACACAGCTGGAGGGACTGAAATTTTTACAAACTGCAACTTAGGTTACGGTATATACAAAAGAAATTCCTCAGAAATAAATTATATACTTCGTAAAATAATTATCACATAAATTTTCTTACTCCCGTTCGATCCACATAACTTAACACGTAATCTATCTATATGTACAAGAAGTATGAACAGAATGTCTATAGTGGATGGGCAGTGGGGGCACAGAGTCGAGTCTGCCCCTGGGGCGCCGCCACGGCCACCAGGTACACCTGCCCGTGCTCCGCCGACGGGGGCGCTTTGCCCCGCCTGTGCAGCCGCACCCACGCTCCGAAGCAGACTAGAATCGCGAGGAATACGGCCACCGTCGCACCGCCGGCGATCGACGCCGTCTCCATCATGAGCTGCCGGCTCGTCAGCACGTACGAGTCGTCCAGGTCCTTAAACTCGCACCGCGGCCCCACGTAACCGCTCCGGCACTCACAATTATATATGGGACTGTCCGAGATCACCACCGTAAAGCACACTCCACCATTGAGGCAATAGTACTCCGAGTAGTCCGGTTCGCACTTGAAGGTGGGGAAGGTGACGTTGAGGCGCGGCTGCGGCTGCGGTTGCGGCGGCGGCCGCTGCGGGCGCGCGGGCCGCGCCGGCCGCTTCGAAATCGAGCTCGAGCAGGCGCCCGCCAGCGCCCAGGCCGCAGACACCACCGCCCACCACACTACCAAAGACTGCATTGTCCGCTCGCTCCGGACGCTCGGCGCTCGCGGTGAATACACGATTTTGACATTGGACGGTGACTTAAACGAAATCCGAGAGGCGATGACATGACCGCTTTCGAATTTCGAACTTGAACCCTTCGCTCGCATCCGCGTCGACGGTCCGCCCAGACATGTTTCCTGTGTCAACTTTTTTTACGTCGACGATCACTCGCTCATGACGGAGGCGCGGTTTCTAGCGCCCGAGATATCGCATCGATTCCGCCGTGAGCATGTCGAAAGTGAAACACGATTCAATACACTGTTCGTAGGTAGGAATTATTCACGGAGCACATACACACTATGTCCCGTTCGAAAGTTTACACACAAAATGGTGCTCAGCGGAACGAACCGCACTGCACTCGACGAGTTGACCGTGTGCGACTGATGGAAGGCGTCTGCTGCATCCGCCATCTGCCGACGAGAATGAATGCGGTGAACTCAAAAGTCAGACGTGAGACGTTTGTGTGCGCAACCTGTTTGTGTATACATTGTCGGTGTGTGAACGTGCAGTGTCCGTGTGTGAGTATATTTTTTCTTTTATGTTGGGACAAAGAGATCAAAAAAGTCCCTATGGTACAGATAGGCTCATACAACCATTGCCCACTAAAGCGGCTTTCGAGGCGACTTTAGACTTTATTGCTTTACATAGTCATTTTTAAAGCCTGTATCAGGTTCTCAGGCATATTGTTTGTACTTTTAAACGTGTTTTGAGGACCTATATAACTTCATTTTCGGTGTAGGAATATAGATGTACGGTACATAAAATAAGTTTCCGATACCTTATAAGAATTATTATATGGGTATGAGTCGATTTAATATATAATCGTGTAAAGTGAATATACGGAAATTCAATATTTAAACATTCTTACATTGTAGAGGCACTAGATACGTTCAATTTACGTAATTATTCTACGTATTAATTTAATTATTAACTATCTTTGTGTAACGCTAAAACTAGTTTGTACTGTGTAAAACAAGATAATCTAATTTGGGACTAGGATAAATTGTACTTTCCATTTCATTATTTATTAGATGATCTAAAATTAATTATATTTTGTCTGCATATTAATGTTGCATGTAATTTTATCTATCCACGCAATATATAATGTAAATTTAGATCGGCTATTCTAGGGCTTTTTATGATTCGGCAACTGTAGAAAGTAGCAACGTAGTAGTAAAAATAAAATAAAATTATAAGTATTACTTTCAGGATCTTCGTGTCGTAAAAAATAAATATTCTGAAAAAATAACGACAGATGTACTAAATAATCGTTATAAGGTACATCCCTAGTTCTACTGTATACTGTATCTAAACTTTAAAACTAAATCTAATTACATCTGGCTAGAGATTTGACATTTTACATAAAATCATTTATTATTAGTCGGTTTTTAAAGCATAAGCAAGCGTGTAAAATCGATGAATAAGTAATCGATTATACTGTTTTAATTGTTGTTGTTATCTAATTTACAAGTTTATGCAAAAAAACAAATATACTATTAAAGATGTAATATCATAGATCGATAGAACAGGACAGACAAACGTGGTGTTCACTCGATAGAAGGTGTAATAGGCAAAAGCCCAGCCATATAACACACACAGTTTACAATTTGTGTTATTAATTGCTACCAGTTCGCACATCGTTTTAAAATAAATTATATGTTATTTCGAATATGTTGAACTTCATATGAAAAAACAATACAATTGGTGTTAAATATCGAGATTCCGTCTTGGCCACGAACGACCAATAGATCCAGAGAAGAATCCATAGAATCCATAGATAGATAGAATAATAACAAATGCCTGGCACGAGTTTACTATTTTTCAACAAGTCCTTTTCTGTGATCTTGTCATTAAGAAAGTTAAAGTATTTCGCTTTCCGGGTCAAGAAACTTAACATAATCTCACGTCACTAATAATCGATTAAGAGATTTAAAAAAAAACGATTATTCATTAAATTGTATTGCGTATTTAAATCTGGTTTGAATCGGATGAAAATCAATTTTTAATCTACCATTTCTTAATCGATTGTTGTTCACATACCTATAACTGTCAAATGTCATCTCAGCGCCTCATAACACAAATATATTATTAGTGCCTGTAATATCTTGGCTCTTGCTCAGTAGTAATATTTTAAAATCTTGGTTTCAAATAAAGTTTTTCATAAATTAATAAGATAGAATTCGTTAAAACGAAACTAATATTTATACATTGTAATTTGTGAATTTCTAAGTTACACAGTTATACATAGAAATTCCTAGGTTTATGGTTTTGTTTGGTTTTTCTTTTTATTTTAAAAATTAAGTTGAAATGTGAATGAAAAGCAATATTTTTAAACTATGTCGGAATCTTCGAAGTTTAAATCTTCTAATTTGAACGCTACTCCAACTCTACAATGCAAAGACCTCCATGAGTATCTTAAGAGTAGATCTTCTCAATTCTTAGAAAATTTATACAACTATCCTACCATTTGTTTAGCAGTTTACAGGTAATAATTATGAACATAAAAAAGTAAAACATTGGTAACATACTTTTTATAGTAAGTTTGTTTGTCTGTATGTACAGGGAACTGCCAGAATTGGCTCGTCATTTTATAATTCGGCTTTTATTTGTTGAACAACCGGTCCCACAAGCTGTAGTGGCCTCATGGGTCACCCAAACCCATGCTAAGTAAGTAACTTATAATATTGAAAAATATAATTATTAATATGTATTTTTTATCTACCTCATTTACTGACTTAAATTTATGCAACATAATAGCTATGATTAAAAAAAAATAGTCTAACTGCTAAACAAATATTATTGCAGAGAACAGAATAAGGCATGCGAGGCTTTGTCTGAACTTTCAGTTTGGCATGAAGCACCGATACCTGGTGGGTTGCCAGGATGGCTCCTAGCACAGTCTTTTAAGAAAAACTTAAAAGTTGCCTTACTTGGAGGGTGAGTTTCATTAAAGCCTTTTTAAACATCATAATTATATAGATATACTCTTTACTCATTCTACTTATCAATAATCTATAGACAAAACAAAGGCTAAACTAAGCTCTTAAATTTTTATAAGATTTTTACTTTAATCTTTGAATAAGGCTTTTAAATACAACAAATTATTCTTATTTTCTTTCTAAAAGCACAAAGACTAAAATTTTAAAATGAAACATTAACAGTTCAAAACACGAAATATATTAATATAAACTTATTTAAAAATAATTTAGGTAACACACAACACAAAATAACTCTTGGATAACTATAATTATTTCAATTTATTTTTGATTTGCAAACTCTCATAAATTAGAGACAGTACAAATAATGCTATAAAGTAAATACAATTTAAAAACCATCTTCACACAAATATATATATACATGTAACTAAAATCTTTCTTTGATAGTGGGCGGCCATGGAGTATGTCACAAACACTAGAACCAGACGGCAAGGCTAGAGACATAACATTCCTTGACGCCTATGCTCTTGAAAGATGGGAGTGTGTATTACATTATATGGTTGGCAGTCAGCAGACTGAGGGTATAAGTGCAGATGCTGTTAGAATATTACTACATGCAGGATTAATGACGAGGTATTGTCCATAGGCTAACTGCTTATAAACGTGAAATATATAACAAAGTTAAAATAATTTTTAAATAAGTGTTTGTGTGTTTGTTTACTTTAGAGATGCCGAAGATGGATCAGCCGTAATAACTAAAGCAGGGTTTCAGTTCCTCTTACTTAGCACAGCCAAACAGGTACGGTTAGAATCTTTTGTAAAAAGTTGAAAACTTAACAATATTTATGTATAACATATAAAAAAATATATTATAATTACAGGTTTGGCTTTTCCTACAACATTATTTACAAACAGCAGAGAAGAGAAATTTAAGTTCCGCAGAATGTTTAGCTTTTCTTTACCAGCTCAGTTTTAGTACGCTAGGAAAGGTAATGGCTTCAAGATTAATTAATTTTCAATTATATATTTAGACTTTTGAAACTTAATATTAGTTCTTCCAATATTAACATGCTCTTGTACTAGCTATGCCAGCGGCTTCGTCCGCATAAAATAGTTATACAGCTGTTACCCAAACGTCGTGCGCGTCCCATAGTTCTAGCAAGTTAATCTTATTATAGTGTATCGGGACATTTTTTTACATTACTTAAAAAGGAACCATTTTCGCAACGTATGCATCGGAAACCCACAAAAGATGAATAATTTTCCCCGTTTTTTCCACATTTCCGCCGTTTCTTTGCTCCTATTAGTCACAGGGCAATGTTTTATAGCCTTCCTGGATAAATGCTCTAATCAACACAACAATATTTTTTCAATTCGAATCATGGTTCCTGAGATTAGCGCGTTCATACAAACAAACTCTTCAGCTTTATATATTATAGATGTCACATAAGCATAGCTTTATCTAATTAAAGATTTTCAATTCAAAATAGATCTTTGCTCTCTTATGCGTTTAGATAAAAAAGAATTAGGCTTTTGAGGAATCTGACCCACTGGTTTTGGGTTATCCAGCTCTCACTGTGTCCCCTTCAAACCTTCTAGTTTGCTTACAGAATCTTACTACCTTTTCCATCTTTAATTCTTTGATGTTATGTAATTATCAGTATAGTATATTGCATGATTTGGAAGCCCGTTTAGCTCAAGAGGTTGTACCGATTGACATTATACTTTTCTCTGAGTATGTACCTTTTACTTCCAGGACTACAGTACAGAGGGCATGAGCAACAACATGCTGGTGTTTTTGCAACATTTGAGAGAATTCGGTCTTGTTTATCAGAGAAAGGTATGTCAGCTGGTGTTATACTGCACTTTTTTGTGACAAACAGATTCTCTCCTTTTTAAGTCCCGATGCTTTGAACTTTTGATGTTGGTACCCTATTTAATATCCAGGTTTTTCTGACGATGGGACTATAACGATGCTGGATTCGGTGGGAATCTGGGGCTTCTGCGATCTCGACCTATGAGTCTGTCCATATTTTTTTTTAATATGTTAGAAGATAATGAAAATGATGAGAAAATACCAACCATCTAACACGTTACGCTGTCGATTTATTTCAGCTTCAGGATATTCGCTCTCTCTCTCTGATAACTCTACAGACTGAAACCGCGATTAAGCTTTACGTAATCTCATGTGTAGATCGTAGTTCGTGACCCGGATGGAATTTCGATATTTCTACCACCCAATATCCAGATTACCAAGTCCAAGTTTCAGAAAACTTATAAATTTAAATAAAACACTTTAAAGGTTTAAAACGCTATATATCAGTTAAACGGGCGGGCTGTAGTTAAAAATCATTTTCAAATAAGTTATAATGTATTTACTATTCTATTGCAGCGTAAAGCCGGTCGTTTCTATCCCACACGACTCGCGCTTAACATCACCTGCGTACGCGACGGCGTCGCCCCGTTAGAAGCAAAACGAACCCAAGGTTATATTGTGGTGGAGAGTAACTATCGTTTATACGGATACACACAGAGTACCCTGCAAGTTGCCCTTCTGGGATTGTTCACAGAATTGATGTACAGGTATTTATTTACAGCGTACATAGCTTTAATTTTGGGTTAACAACAGCTTAAAACCCTAACTACAATTAAAAATAATATGCTAAGCTATAACAGTAAAGTAAAGGTTACAAATAGAAATAAGAAAGAAAAAAGTTGTTTTTCATGTGTGTACAGAAGCACGTGTTTCTAAGTCACATAAGTCTGAAACAGCACACATATTATGAATAGTTGTTTTGGGCATCCAAATTTGTTTTTGCAAATTAAACATTTTTATAAATAGCTGTCACCCACGACGTCGTTCGTGGCACGTCAGTCTTGCAAGTTAATCTAAAAAAATAGACATAATGTCGCGGACATTTGGTAGATTATTTAATGAGGAATCATTATTTTATACATATTTTTTTTTTTGATATCTTGAACCGTGATCACTGCACGCAACGAAAACTTTTAATGATGGAAAAATTCCCCCTTTTCTCCACATTTCCCATTGTTTCTTCGCTCCTATTGGTCAGTAGAGTGATTTATAGCCTTCCATAAATGCTCTAGCCGACACCAGAAAATTCAAATGGACTCAGTACTTTGTGAGATATGCGCGTGAAACAAACAAACTCTTCAGCTTTATATATTAGTATAGATTTATGGATTACGCCTTTTTAGGTTCCCTAATCTGGTGGTGGGGGTGATCACTCGCGAGTCAGTGCGTCAGGCGTTCCGCGGTGGAATATCAGCTGAACAGATTATCAAATTCTTGGAACAACATTCTCATCCACAGGTAAAAATGTTTTTATATCTTTTAATAATAATTGTATCATCTGTAGACGCTCGTAGTACACATTAAAATAAAACACTTTTAACAGTTTAAAACGTGAATTGCAGTAGCCGTACGGTAACCACGTTTAAAATGTGGTTAAGTTGAAATAAAATTTATTTCGAGTTTAAAACCGTTAGGTGTTTAATTCAAATATTAATTGTATCGTCTATATATATGCTCGTATTACACATTAAAAAAATACTTTTTACGGTTTAAAACGCGATATATGCTTGCTAACTAAAACGTTTGGAATATTAGGCATGGCTATGTGCACTACTGACACGTGAGCTATTGTGAAGCATTGGAAAAGTCAGGCTTTGCTTTGTGTTTTATGTGCATATTAATTATATTCATCACAGAAAATCAGCTATTTTTTGACATTCTTTTTGAATATGGCTTATATTTCCTTTCCGATACAGACTTCAATGAAAAGTAACTTCGAATATACTCGAATTTAATTTTTACCGAATTGTTACGTTGCAGATGTTAAAGACCGAATCGGGTGGGATTAGAACGACATCAGTGCTGCCACCTACCGTGGTGGATCAGATTAGGCTGTGGGAGAGCGAAAGGAACCGCTTCACTTACACCGAGGGTGTAGTCTACAACCAGTTTCTGTCCCAGGTAAAACTAATTTAAATTTGTTAACATGGAATCACCTGGTCTTAGGTTGGATCCCTCAATATTTTATTTAATGGGTATATTGAAATTGCGTCCGGGTCACGAATTATCTTTCAGTGTGAGGATTTGCGCATGCGCATTGTAAGATATCGTATGGCTGTATAGGTATCGGTATGCTTGTCTGTCCACCTCAAACTCAAACCATTTATTTCACAACCACATAAAACTTAAATATAAGCTAAAAAAAAAACAATTTTAAAAAAAAAAGTGAAAGAAAAAAAATAAACAAAAACATAGAAATTCTCTAATCACCTCTAATATAGAAGAATTTAATGTTAAAATTACTGAGCAAATCTTTCATTACTTAACCAAAACTGAAACTGCCAATATGTCTGACTTGATATAAGTCAAAAATTATTTGACAGAATGGTGAGGGCAGATAATAACTAGAGACAAGAGAACTCACTACAGAGAAGTCACAAGTCAAGATTTTTACTTATTTTCTGTCTCTAGGCGGATTTCGTTGTACTGCGAGACTACGCGCGCGCGCAAGGTGTTTTGAGTTGGCAGAACGAGCGCACGCGCACGATGGTAGTGACGCGCTCGGGGCACGATGACGTCAAAAAATTCTGGAAGCGGTACTCCAAGTCATCTTGAATTGTCTTTGATTGTACATAAGATGGAAATTTGTGTCTATCTACAGTACACGTGTGGTTAGGTAATTTCTACGTCAAATGTACATAATAAAATGTGATTTTATATTTATTTTGATTGAATTTTTTTTGATGAAACGGCGATACTACAATGTTATTATTACGAAAACACCGAAGTAACAGGTCAAACGCGAGTTGGACTTTGCACTATGGAAATAATCTGAAACTTTATTGTATTGTTTTTTTTTTTCAATATAGGTCACTATTTAAAAGCAATAAAAGAAGGGGCATACTCAAATATTATAATTACATATAAAAGATAAATCTTATAAACTAAACTCGTCTTCAATACTCCAATGTCAGCATGTTGGTGGTGGGGGGGCTTTCACCGGCGCAAGCGCCGAATACAACTTGGATATTGCCGACTGTACCATCCGTTCTAAGGACTCTCTTCCTTTTTCTTCCTCGAAAAAATATACTATATCATACGTTCTAAGGAAATCATCTGGACTCTGTATCGGAAGCTATGTACGGCTAATCATCAGCGGGTCGTGGTCGATCCCAATGGACTTTTATAATTTTTTTAAACATGTTATCTGGATATCTGGATGTTAGGTCGAAAGCGCATTTCGTTTAGTAATAGGCTGGGGCATATCACCTACCATCGAGTAAACCACAACTATATTTGTCATCAATAAAGGGGTAAGTATTTTGGTTTGTTTTATTTATTTAACTTTAATAACTCCATACTATTGTTAAATAAATAAGACTCTAGGTTCGCAACCTCGGAACACGTTGAATTGTTTGCGGTCACGTGAGGCATGGAAGTGTGACATTACTGTAAATAAAATCCATCAATTACAGTACACATAATCCCCCATGCCCCAGAGGGGGTAATTATATTTTAAAGGTATACCAGCGCTAGGAGATCGATATCAGCACGCTTGTCATTGACTTCGACGTGTAATTTCTCGCCTTTGAAAATCTTTGGTACGGAGTCTTCTCCAAACATCTCTTGTAGCATCTCTATCACGCACTCCTGAAACAATAATACATAACATATACTTTCATTGCAAGACGCCACTACAATCAAATTCAAAACTTTTTATTGCCGTTTTAAGATAATTTGATCGCCTCTGTAGCCAAATGGTTAAACGTATTCTCTAGCATTGGGTTATCACGAGAGGTCCTGGGTTTGAATTACAGGGAAACATAAAATTGTTTCGGTCAGGCATGGCACAGAAGTCTGATTAACTACTTGCCGGTTAAAAGAACGGATCAGTGAAACGGACACAGAAATGTGTTCGCCCCATGCCCCACCACGGGGAAACAGGATTTCACACACAAAGATAGAAGTTAGATACAAGTAAACTTATAACTAAATTGGGTAATAAAAAAAAATGTAAATAATAAATACAGAGGTAGCAATCGGTACGAGTCTAAACTGTGCTGCTGAATGCTCGTCGCACTTTAGGCTAAAGCCATTTTATAACTAAAGAAATTATTTAATTGCATGTTCACTGAAAACATTTTAGTAAAGGATTCTATAAAAAAAAAAAAAAAAAAAAAAAGGGGGGGGGGGGGAAAAAAAAAAAAAAAAAAAAAGAAAAAAAAAAAAAAAAAAAACAGAGCACCCCCCCCCCCCGGCCGCGGGGCCCTTCCCCCCCTCGAAAAATTTTTTTTTGGGGGAAGTGGGGGGGGGGATAAATAAGGGGGGAAAATTCGGGGTCGCTACTTTTAAATCTAGTTGTATTCGTAGCTTCAGTTAACATCTTTTACCCCGGCCGCCCGCCCAAAAAAAAGGGGGGGGGGAGAGAAAAAAAAAAAAGGGGGGGGGTCCTTAGGTAAAGGGGGGGGGGGCCGGGGAACCAGATTTGTTTTGAAAGGAAAAAAAAATTAAAAATCGACATATAAATAAGTTACCAATATAATTGGCGTTCAACGTTATAATAATTTATTGTTATTTGCATACCTTGAAGTGCATCCTGTCTAGTTTGGGTGCAAGCGGTAGATGCGCAGGCGCCGATAGCGATGACGCGCCAAGTACCGCTGCCACCACCGCGTCAGCGTACATGTCTGATACTGGTTGAGCTTGCCACTAGTAAATAAAAAAAAATCTAAGTTAGGCGCAGAAATGGAGGTCATATGATTTTTTCAGTCCCAAATATTCAAGAATCGAATGTCGGAAAAATAATAGATGTTTCGTTCGGGCAGGGCAAAGAAGTCAACTAGGTACCTTAAAACGAATAGTTAAACGGAACGAAATATTTAAAATGCGAAATATATTACTGTAACTTGTTTAAAAAAATATTTTTAACTGTAAACACGTGACTGCAAAGCATTCGAAACGTCGCACCGTAGTTAAAATAAGTTTCACTAATATATTTCGCGATTTAAACCGTTGAAGTGTATTATATAAATGTTTAGTATTACACGTGTAAATTCCAGATATCACGAGATATCACTTTAAAAGCTATTTTACTATATCAAACATACTGGACCAAAGCCTTTCAATCTTAAGTCCAATTGAAGCCGCCAGAGACAGAGTAGCCTAACTGCAATTTTATGACTTGAGTTATTATATTTTATAGACTAAAGATGTTAATCTAGAAGAGCACAGTGACTGAAAATTGTTAACATCATTCTTACACAAATTAATTTTCGCCTAAGTTAATTGAGCGTTATATTTCTCCTTATAAGAAATCATGTTTTGTGTTAATAGGCCACTCTGTCTCTAGCAGACTCAATTCATATTCACCTCAAGCACGATAACAGGCGGTTCAATGATCATGTCTATACAGTTGTACAGCCTCCACCTGGTCTCCGAAAGGAATTCTATCGTGCCCGCGAGCCGAACCACGACGTGACGCAGCAGGGCACTGGAACCGGTGTAATGTATGGATTGTCTCTGCACCACCTCCGATTGAGTTAACTCCGTGTACTCTATAGAAGAAATACACACATAAAATGAATAAGTCAAATTTAAAAACAGGCAGATGTTGAGGCAAGACTTCAAAAGGGACACGGTGAGAGTTGGATAACCAATCCTCATGAGTGAAATGATTAGATAATGAACTGATCACGCGCAGTGGCGTAGCTATCGTAGGATCAGGTGGTGCAGTGCACCAGGGCCCCGGAACTTAAGGGCCCTCTTACCTTATCTTTGAGAAGATATAAGCTTAGAAGAATGATTTTTAACGTTCTTGTTGCTATTTATAATTTTGGAGGTTCATTTAATTCAAGCTATGGTAAAAGAGGGGATGAGGACCCGATTCTTTCTTGAGCCTTAGGATTAGGTAGACCGGGGCCCTTGTCCACCTAGCTACACTATTATCACCCTGCCTTCTATTGGTGACTTCAATAGAGAATAAGATTCTTTGCGGTTTGTCTGTTTGTAATCAGGCTTTATTAAAAAAAATCACAATTGTATTTCTACTGCCCCTAGAGCAGGCGTAATTCTAATCTTCTCTTTTTCTTTCTAAATCTTGAAATAAATTGTTCTCTTACTTTGACAGCCAAGCCGTTAAAATGTCAGGCCTCGAGATATTTATTATTAAGCGGAAACTTCCTAAAAAGCTCAAACCAAATTGGCCTATACCATACTGGGAACAACATTTGATACAATGGAGCAGAACTGAACTCAAGGTGTAAATGTGTCTCTTAAGCCAATGAAAATCTAACAAAAGGTATATTTTATATACAACTTATGTACTTAGTCAGAATCCAATTTAATAATGTATAGAAAAATCCACCTTTGATTTTTAGTTAAAAAAAAAACTTACTATTAAGATCTGAAGGCGCTAATATGTGATAGTTGAAATTCCTCTTAACCAGAATACCCTGCAGCTGTTCGCCTGGCTTCGACGGGTCTACTGCTAACGAGCCCATTACCTGTACAAATAAGGGCATTATGTGACTAAAAAATCTATTTAGACTGAAAAAGTACATTGATAGGATGGAGGAGCCGAGAAAATCGACGATGACGTGGAGGACATAGTAGCTTAATTGGTTAGAGCGGCAGCACGGAACGCTGAGAAATCCTGACGGTGTCTTCAAACTTCATTGCCTGTACTAGCAGTGTCAGCGAGTTCAAACGCGTATTATTGTTATTTTAGGCATCAAAACGTCGTTTGCGTCCCTCGTTCTTGCGAGTTAATCTTAAAAAATAGACATATATTATTGCGGATATTTTTTTAAGCAGTCCATTCGATTCGATCCTGAGATAAGCGCGATCAAACAAACAAACAACCTCTTCAGCTTTATAATATTAGTATAGATTTAATAGGCGATGTCTGAAATATCACTGAACACATTTACTTGTTAGTTTCAATAATTTCATTAATAGACAAAAAGTTAATAAGATTTCTTTGCCCTACAGAATAGAACAGTTGAATATTCCTATCTATATATCTGATCGATTTGAACCCACCTCCATACCTCTCATGCTTAACGATCTTTTAAGCATGTAAATTAAAGCAATAGTAAGAAAAGTGTAGAGATGATAGACCAAGACATACCTTGGCAGTCTTATCTCCTCGGAAGGTAAGAGAAAGAAGTTGAGTATTCCGCGGCGTGTGAACTGCAAGTCTCGTCCGATGTTCGCGTTGCAGCGCAGCCTTTAACCTGGACATCTCGTTTTGTTCACCATGGACTAAGACCTGGAAGTTTAGACAAATAAACAAGTACATAAGCCATCAAATTGTGAATACTTTCCAGCAGGGGGTCTGTGCTGTCGTTGAGAAATAGTTATCGACGGTTCACCATCAAGTGAAGGGTCAGTCTTCCCTTGACCGAGGAACGCGCAATCTCCTTCCGACTGAACCAAGAGTGTCCACGAAAATTTTTTTAATATTGGAGGGGAGAAAGGCGCGGGGGAGGGCTTTAATCTTGACTTAGTCCACCACAGTTTGGATTTGAGCTTGGGGACCTAGGCTTCGCTGGCGAAAACGGTTTTGCGGACGATCGTGATAAAAATGTCTATAATTTTGATAAATGGTCGAAGGCGGTCTAAAACCCAAGAAACTCGACCTTCTTACTTTCAGGAACACTTACAACGTGAGGTGGTTTGAGTATGTTGATAAACTCCGAGGTCTGCTGATAGTCCGTGTGCGCCGAAAAGGAGATGTAGTCCACGGACATTTTGAGCGGCAACTTTTGCCCCGACATCGTCGTTATTTCCTCTGGCTCCGATAGGATCGTCTTCGCAAGGGTGCCTTCGACGCAATAACCTGGTAACAATTAATCTCTTAGTGGTAGTGTGTATTTTATATTTTTCAGCAAAACGAAGTAACTTGACTCTACGTGACTCAGTTGAATACACGAAAACAATTTGACGGGCGCGAGGTGTAATGGTATTAGCAATGTATGGCAAAAACAGGTCATGGATGTGATCGACACCGAGTCTAATATGTTCTTAGTACATCTGTCTATAGTTTTGGGACGCGAGTAGTACACATTTAAATTAAACACTTACGGTTTAAAAGGTATATTAGCTTCGTCTGAAAATCTGGATTTTTAATGGGTCACAAACCACCGTTCACAAAGTTTAAAACAAAACGGAACAAAAAGTAAACAAAAAAAATCGCATTTTAAACCGTTAAGGAAATGTTTTTAGTCATTAATATTTTTTTTAAACATGTTGGGCTTGTTGGAAATTGAGGTCAAATCCAAGAATAAAAAACCGTGAGGTAATCGTGTTTCGGTTTCAGCCTGTGCCTTTCCAAATATTCAAAGCCGAAATAGGTGAATAGCACATCGGTGCTTAGATGTTAAGGGTGGTAGTAACCTGTCACCAAGTAAACCCTACACTTGCCTGTCCTCTTCTATCATAGAAAAATATGATAGGTCTTAAGTTCGAATCTCGGAGACATGTAAATTTTAAGGTCGGGTACAGAAAGCCGATCACGTGCTATATTATATAAATTAGTCAAACGTTGCGAGTTACGAGTCTGTCCAAAATACCATCATCTTTTTATAGTAACTTACCAGCGATAATAACCCCATTTTTAGGATCAGTACACCAAGACTCGAACAGTTCTCTGGAGAGACCAGACTGCATCATACCAGGGGAAGCCATTATCACACAAGGACCAATGTCCTCGAAGTGATCTATGCCCTGCAATAACATACAAACATATTATATACAAGTCCTAAAAAAAAAACAATAAATACTGAACGGTTTTAAACGCAAAATATATTTATTAAATTATTAAAATTTATTGGTACCTACGGACCAACGTTTCGAATGCTTTGCAGCAGCCGTTGACACAGGGGAGACGTAACGTCATAGTTAAAATAAATTAACTAATACATTTTGCGTTTTAAACCGTCAAAAGTGTTTATAGGTGTACTACTCGTTTAAACTACAAACAAAGTCTTGTCGATATAGATATAATAAGAACAACACACTGAAGACCCTGACTAACAAAATCGAAATAATTCTCGATTATTAATGCAAACAAGATCAAGTTAGTGGGAATAAAAGAGCTGCCAGGAAAAAGGGAAATTTTTCTTTTCTCAGAAAAAAAAAAAAAAAACACTTTAACGGTTTAAAACGCGAAAAACGGAATGGTTTAAGGTACAGACTGTCCTTGTTTAAGCATCCGAAACGTCAAGCCGAAGTTAAAATTTTTTCAAAGTTCCTTTTACAAGTAATGTCTATAAAATAGACAGTATGTATATCAAAAAATTTCAAGAATCAGTACTAGCCACAACGCCTTATGATAGACAGACAACCTAGTCTAAATAATGAGGTCCTGTTTTTTTCCAGCTACTTAGTTACTCTTTCCCTAAAAAGTAAGGAGGGGGGGGGGGAAGGGGCTGGAAGAACTTATTTACTAGCCCTTAAATTTCCCTTGGGGAAACCTCCCTCCCCCTTGAAATGTACTTTTTAAAGGTCCCTATATACAACAAAAATATATATAAGCATTTTGTTCTTAATACAAATATTAGGTAAATACATCGAAAATTAATTGTCTCAGATAGACGCAAGAACTATGGAGAGTTATCGATAAAAATTTAGAGGCCGACACGATTATAGGTCAAGATGAAGGTCGATTTGGTTAATACTGAATTTTGATAAGCGTCACACGTTTAGCAGGCAAAATACATATTGGTCTACTCGCTATCAAGTTTTATAAGCAAACTTTATGGAATGTTAAAAACAAACAAGCCATTATAAGTGATTTATATTAAGCTGAAACGGAGGTAATAAAGAAGGTAAAAATTTGTATTATAGAAGGTCAAATAGTATCTGTCAAGTTAAAAACCAAGTATTGTTTTTTTTTTTTTTTTTTTTATTTTTTTTTTTTTTTTTTGTGTTTTTTTTTTTTTTTTTTTTTTTTTATCCACCCCCCCCCCCCCTCCCCCCCCCCCCCCCCCCCCCCCCCCCCCTTTTTTTTTCTTTGGGGGGGGGGATTAAATTTTTTTTGGGGGGGGGTTTTTCGGGGGGGGGGGGGGGGTTGGGGGGGGGGGGTTTGTGCGCGATCGCATTTCGTCTATAGTTTACGCGAGTAGTAAACAAATAAAAAACTCTTAACTATTTATAACGCGAAATAAACCGTAGTTAAAATAAATTAAAAATAAGTCAACCAATATATATATATATATTCTTAATTGTAACTATCCAACGTTTCTTGTGCTTTGCAGCCCCCTGGACAAGGGTTTTCGTATATTTTCCGTTTTAAACCGTTGAAAGTGTTTTCATCAATTGAATAACTGAATAAATGATTAAATGATAATTACTTTTTGAATTAAATTGATCTAACTTCTGAAGTTTTTAGTAATACTGATTCTCAAGTTTCGGGTTGTTTGCACTAGTACAGTAAAAATCCTAATAATAAAAACAGTTTAATTCGATTTAATTAGATTATTCTTGTATTATCCATTGAGAAATATTTCAAAAGATTATTAATTAAACATATCTTTGTTGAGTTTCACGTGAATTCCTTCTAATTGTTCTTATTGCAGATATGCTGCCGTTATTTCTGAAAAACAAATTGATACAATGGCTGGAGGATCACCGCGAGTTCGTGGTTTGCGTGTTTTGCTTACCGGCGAGTTTTCTCTTCACCTTAGCGTTACACATTCGTAACGCTGTACGGAAACTGACCAGTAATGGACAGAGTCATGATGAGGCAGTACGGCAAATACAGAACAGGGTGAGGAATATAAAGACACTAGTACCCGCCACTTCTCCGTTAATAGAGCTTTAAGGCAGCAAATTTGCAAACGTCCTCGTCATCTTTATACACTATAGCTGTAACCCACGACGTCGGGTCCCCGTTCTTGCAAGTTAAACTTAAAAGATCGACGTATACTGTCGCGCGGATTTCATAGATCATTTAAAGAGGAATCATTCTTCCATACATATTTTTTGGTTTCTTGGGCCGTTTTCGTAACGCAAACAGCAAAACCTTTGAGGACTAGTGCCCTCAAAGATTTTGACGTTTTCACATTTTTACCTCGTTTTTTCACATCTCGCAACTTAATGTTTCTTCCTCTTCCTAATGCTTCCTCGACAAATTGTCTATCCATCACAAAAAATTTGCAATTCTAACCAGTAGTTGCTGTGCATTACGTTTAAGCAAATTATAATCTAGATGATCATTTAAAATGAGAAATCCCGTTTTCCCCATAGAGCATGCAGGGCACTTCTCTGTCCTGTCAAGCCGAAACATTTCTTTTATACCGCATTGTTAAACAACTATATAACTTATAACTTGTTGTCCTTAGGTACAGCAATGGAATAAACTGGACAGTAAAAAGGGTTTGCTGTGTACATCGCGACCGAATTGGTTATCGTTATCGACGACATTTTTCCAAAAACACCTCCACCACAGAGTGCCAATCCCACTATACGACATCCTGGAGCTGGATGAAGGGAACCTGACAGTGAGAGTGGAACCGATGTGCACCATTGGAGATATAACCGAGTATTTAATACCGAAAGGATATTCATTGGCTGTTACTATTGAGCTTATAGATGCTACTTTAGGAGGTCAGTGAGAAATGCTGCAGCTATACCAGCAGTTCTGGAGACTTCGAAAACCCGTTACCATAGTGGGGCATGGGGCGAATATATGTCCGTTCGTTTCGCTAATTTTATTTACAGATGATTTTTACAAATCTATGATCTGTTGAGCCGTGAGTCTACCATTCGATCGCCGTGACTGTCAAAGTCTCTTAGAAACAATGACGACAATCGCGAATTAAAAATATGCATGCGCAACTAAGGATAGACAGATCCAGATTCCAGACACCTACAGACATATCAAAAACTTCTTTATGTTAGGACCCTGTACATTGGTACACACATTTACAGACCAGTAGTGTTAATTGCATTATCTTTCTTTCAGGGCTGGCCTTTGGCACTGGAATGTCAACTCACTCCCACAAAGTTGGCCTATATCACGAAACAATCACAAGCTATGAAGTAGTTCTTGGAGATGGGTCTGTGGTCACCGCCACAGCTGACAATGAGTATTCAGATCTGTATAAAGCTCTGCCCTGGTCACACGGTAGTCTAGGGTTCCTGGTCGCGTTGACTCTCAAAATAGTGAAAGTAAAGCCTTACATCAAGATTAAATATACCCCAGTTAGAGGACAGAAAGAATACTGCGACATATTAAGGGACTATTCTGGAGCCAACGAAATGAAACCCAATTATCACCCGGATTACATCGAGGGCACCATTTTCAGCAAAGAAGAAGCTGTTATAATGACCGGGGACTACGCAGACTTTAACGAGCAAGTAATCGTTAACCATTGTTCCAGATGGTACAAGCCCTGGTTTTACAAGCACGTTGAGTCAATTCTGAAGAAGGGAGAAACTGAGGAGTTGATTCCCCTAAGAGATTACTTGCTGCGGCACAATAGACCGATTTTTTGGGTTGTCGAAGACATGATATCCTTCGGGAACCATCCAGTATTTAGATTCTTCTTCGGTTGGTTACTTCCCCCAAAGCCAGCGTTCCTGAAGTTCACCACGACACCTGGGGTGCGCGCGTACACCTTCACGAAACAAGTCTTCCAAGATATAGTTCTGCCTATACAGGAGTTAGAGCGGCAAATCGAAATCAGCATAGAATTGTTCGATAAATTTCCTTTACTTGTGTATCCTTGTAAAGTTATTGATCACGGTCCGGTGTCTGGTCAGTTGCGCCGGCCACAGACGAAATATATAGTCCCCGGTACTAACTACGCAGTGTATAACGATTTAGGAGTTTACGGTGTCCCGAGAAAAGTGAAGGACAAATTGCCCTACAACCCAGTGGGGGCGATGAGAAAAATGGAAGAGTTCACGAGAGATGTGGGGGGGTTCTCCTTTCTGTACGCTGATATTTTCATGACGAGGGAGGAGTTTGAAGTAATGTTCGATTTGGCACTCTACAAAGTGGTAAGACAGAAGTATAAAGCTGAAGGTGCGTTTCCAGACCTTGTACGACAAGGTAAGGCCAGAAATCGACGTTTTTGCTATTGGTGAAGAAAATGTTATAAGTGGGTAATCTAACCTTTAATTACCTATTGAAATAAAGTGAATAAAATAATACTAAATGGATATAACAGTAGTTTTTCTTCAAAATTCGAATTTGAACCCTAACACGTTAAGGTCGAAATTGCAATGTCCTTTAAGTACATTCATATAAGTATTAATAAATTTCAATAAAACACTTGAACCGTTTTAAACGCGATGGATATCAGTTAGACTTATTTTAAAATGCTTTTAATTACGGCCCGACGTTTCGGATGCTTTTCTATTTTTTATATATTGCGTTTTAAACCGTTAGTGTATTATTTAAATGTTGGTACTACTCGCGTAAACTAGAGACAGTATGGAATTAATAATTTCAATACATAACAAGACTTTTTTAAATAAATTGGTTATATTGACTTATTTTTAATGAAAGTTTTGGCCCGATGTTTCGGATACTTTGCATCAACAGTTTCGCCGTAACCACGACCAAAACTGTTAAAAATGTTTTAAATTAATGATCTAACCTTGAATATTATCTGAAGTTTACGCCAGTACTGCATTTAAATTAAACGATTTCAACGGTTTAAAACGAGAAATATATTGGTTAACTTATTTTTAAACATGACCCGACGTTTTGGATGCTTCCCCCAGTGATCAGCAGTCCCGCCGTGGTCACGGCTAAAGCCGTTAAGCATGTTTAAATTTAATGATCTCACCTTTAAATTCGATATGTGTCTGAAGACAAATGGATTGTTAACAGCTATCTGCCGTCTAATCCGGTCATTCATAGCATTTATGTACGTCTGGTAGACAGCCATACATTTCTTAGCTAGCGATGAAGCATAGTAGATGGGTATGTCTTGCAGCTCAGGATGAAGGGACCAGTATTCGTCTGTGAATGAAATTTTTTTTTTTGTTTATAGACTAAATTACTTCGAAGGTTAATTCTTTATCACTATTTATATATTATAGAACTACAGAAGCGTCAATTAAAAAATTAGTTTTAGTTGGTATATAATAAATCACATTTATCGAGTAAAGCTTTATGGACTTTTATAATAACAACTACTGGCTGGAATTGAAAAAATTTTGCGGGGAAAATTATTCATCTCCAATTGCGTGTGGGCTGCGTAAACTACTAAATACTTAAGAAAGCATAAAAACTAAGTATCAAATAATCATTCTTCTTTAAATGATCTTAAAAAATGGCCGCGTCAGTATATATCCTCTAAGATTAACGTAGGGACACGACGCGTCTAACAGCTCTAGTTTATAAGCAAGTGATGTCCTAAATAACTATTCTACGTACATTAATAATTACTTTTGTATGAGGCCGGTAGAGACTGAGTAGCCTAACTACAATTTTATACCTTGACTATTTTTATCGTCTAAAAATGTTAATCTACAAGAGCAGTGACCGAAAATTATTAACACAATTCTTACACATAATAGTACAAATTAGTTGTCGCTTAAGTTATTCCTAGCGGGTTAAATGAAAATAGTATACCCAAGATTAAAAGCAACTCCTGAGCACGACCAAGCGCAAATACAGGAATGAGACACCGTCCTCCGCGCATCACAATATCGCTGACTAGACTCGTGAACCGGCTCTCTCGTTCTTCACGTTTTTCGTGAATATGGGTGCCGTAGGTGGACTCCTGGGAGTGGAGAAGAAGTGATCTATATATTTCAGAGCCTGGCTTTGACGTAGTCTGCTATATGACTTAAGATATGCAATTTACACAATATAGTTCTTTCAAATAACATCGATAAATGTCCAGATGTTCCAGACAAATACTATATTATCTATATATCCAAAATATTTTAATCAACAAATTGGTTACATTGTGAATAGAACCCACGAATTGTTGTTTATTGTCACTACCAATGAAAAAATTATATTACAGTTAAAAGTGGGTGCCTAATAATATTAGTTTTTAAAAATCAAAGCAAAGAATTATTCTAGAGAATATAGCTTTTATAAATTATTCTGCCACATCATAATGCATATATAAATATAGATCTGACAATATCAACAACAGCATATCTAAAACTAAGTTTTGTTTTTGCATCTCATTAAATATTCAGTTGTAAGTGTTAACTGACAAAACTAATAATCTTACAGTGATCAGGACATCGGGGTGAACTGTGGGTATTTCAGCTGCCATTAAATGCCTATCTTCTTGTCTTGAAAAGTCACCTGTATATAGAATCTGTAATTTGAAAAAGACATCATAACTGAGATGTTTAACAAAACAATTTGAGGATTCTTAAAAAATAAGAAGTTTAGAACACTAAAAGGGTGGACAAAAGACGACCTAATGTAAAAAATAAATCAGTCCAGTCAGCGCAAGACTGTTTTTGTGTAATTTTACACATTAAATAAAACACTTTCCAGCCTACTCATATATTTAGTGTTACAAACTGTTTAATGTAAGGCCATTTTTATTCCACTTTAAGGTAAAAAGTAGTAAATACTGCAATTGTAATCTTCTATTTATCGATACCTTTACTCCAGCAATTTCAATCATAAACATGGCTGCACCAAGAACATGGCCTGCATTGTAGGCCCAGAACCGAACACCACGCACATCTTTCTCCTCATGAAAGTTAATAGTCTCTATACGATCCATTGACCCTTCTAAGTCTGATTCTGTATATAACATCTGTTCTGTAGATATATTACTGAAAATATAAAACAGTTATAAATAATAGTTCTATCACTATTGCCAATTCTAGTATGCTGTGTGTTTTACTAATTAGTAGCTGTCTTTAGGCTAAAATAATAAAAATGAGATTAGATACATACCTAACTTTAATATAATCTGAAACAAGCCATCTATAGATAGCTTTTGTTGCATGAGTCATGAATACCCTGCCTTTAAATGATGTTTTAGTTAAGAACCATGGCAGGGCTCCACTGTGATCCAGGTGAAAACTAAAATGAAAAAAAGAATCAAAAGATGTTACTACTATTGGTGATGTTTAAAACCAATTATACAATTATTTCTTTAGAGGTAAAGAATAAATACAGACTGAGAAATAAGAAGTAGGTCCACTTCATCTGCTTCTATTAAATCTACAAAAGGCAGTGCATCCATTCCTGATAAACCAGGGTGAATCCCACAGTCTAGCTGTAAAAAAGAAAAATGAGTAGCCAAATTTGAACTGTAATAAAAAATAAACATATAAAATTGTCAATAATGTAAACATTTACCATAATTTTCTTCCCTTTAAATTCCAACATAATACATGATCGGCCTACTTCTTGACCTGCACCACTGAAAGAAAAATAGTTATATTATAATTTTTAATATTTCGTAATAGTAAATACTAGTAACAAATTCAAATCAGGTCAATATTTACAGTGGCCGAATTGTAAGTTGATCACTTTCTTCTAATGGCACCGAATCGATGCCTTTCCGTGGATTTGTCGTCATTTTTATGGTACAATTGCAGTCTGCAAACTATTTAGATCAATATTATTGGCACTTGAAACTAAACAAAACTAAACAATCCTTTGAAAATAAACATTGAACATAACCCCAAAATAAATAGATCTGACCGGTACCCTGTTTGACAGTTGATATTTTTTCTTTTTGTAATATTTTATGCCCTGGTAACGAGACTTTTAAGCATAGTCTAGTTGATGTTTGCGTCTTTACCGAAGAGTCTTTACTGTGGATGATGCAGACTTACTATTTAATATTTATTACTTACACATATTTACCTTATCTGTAACAATTAGGTTATTTTCATGTTTCTATTTACGAAAACGTGTGCGTTGTTGTAAACATAGAAATTCAACAAAAATTTATTTGCAAAGCAACGTTAATTTTATTTTACAAATGCCCAAAAATAAATTATTTGACGATGATTCCGAGGAAGAAGTGAATCTTAAAACCGAAAACGAGTATGCAAAGAAATATGATAGGTGGCGAGAGAAAGAAGAACTCCATAAACGTATAAAAAGATCATCATATTTATTTTAATTTTAAAGTTCTGTATAATGAAGTAATTTTTAATTAATTAACGCTTTTCAGTGGAGCAAAAGTATGGCTCAAAGCCATCTACTTCGGATGCGTCTGGCTCGGACAGCGAAGAAGAGAGTGATGAGCCCCCAGATATCTCTGAAGAAGTTGAAACACAATTTTTAAAAACCTTATCCTTGTTAAAAACTAAAGATCCCAGAATTTACGACTCCAATTACAAGTTTTTCAATGAAAAACTTGAAAAAAGGTTAGTCAAAAAAAATATTTTATATAATATATGTTTAAGTAAGCTATATTAAAGATCATTAAAATCGCTAAAATGTCCTTAAGAATTCATTATATATATTAATTAAACAACGTCTGAGAAAGTTTATAATCATTGTTACAATTAGATTATAAATTAAAACAGCATAAAAATTTTGCAGACAAAGAAAAATCTACAGAAGTGAAGAAAGTTACATTTACTGATAGTGATGATGACGATGATGACCCAAATATTTTCACCATTGAGAAGAAAGCCGAAATAGATAATTCAACTACAAAGCACACTGAGGTTAAAATTGAGCACATAATTTAAAATAATTTGATTCTATTTTATATAACATTAATAAAAAATTTTGGTATTATAGGATCGAAAATTAAAAGATTACTTAATAGGGAAAGTGGATCATATAGATCAAGATGTTGAGAAGGATTTAGCACCATTAAAATCTTTATGGTCTGATCCAAAATTGAATGATGGGGAAGCGTTTCTTAGAGATTATATTTTGAATAAAAGGTAAGACTATTAATAAATGCCATACATTACTTACATACTTATTTCCCTAGCCCAAGTATCATCAGTACCCAAACTGGGAAAGTTCACTTTTTATGTCCTATGAAAACCTAAATGTGCCTACTGGCTTTTTGGAACTCTGAGAAATGGTTTTGTGACATTCTGATTCTGGTTCGGGCATTCCAATAACCTCAAATTACCAATAAAACATTAATACTATTAAAGTACTGATTCAAACTTGCATAGTCCGCATTTATGTTTAAATATTTTATAGATATCTGGATGAAGATGCCTCTCAGTTAGCAGAACAGAAAGTCCGTGACGATGAAGATCTAGAAGCTGATGAAAAAACTGTTGAGGAACAGGGTAAATTTGAAAGGGCTTACAACTTTAGGTTTGAAGAGCCAGATGATGAGTATGTAAGTGAAGTTTAGCTTTTTCTATATAGTCATACAATGAAAAAATTTGGATACAGTCAAAACATATATATCTGTATACATTTTACTGATCAATTTTACTGACAGGCAGCTAGTTAATCAGACTTCTGTACCCTGCCTGACTGAACCCCAGAACCCAGATTCTCTTGTGCTTAATGCAACATTTAAACCATTGAACTCCTTTAGCCAGGATTCATCTTAGAAGTAAATATTTGATCAAGCAAGTGATGATGTCAAGAAAGTTGTTTACTTTTTTAGTTAAAACGTTATCCAAGAACAATGAATTATATCCGACCTAAAGATGATCGCCGATCTCGCAAGAGAGCAGAGATTCGCGAGAGGAAAGAACAAGAGAAGACAAAGAAGATGGAAGAAATTGCGCGACTTAAATCCCTTAAACTAAAAGAGATACAGGAGAAGATTGCTAAAATTAAGGAGGTTACTGGAAATGAGGAGTTAGCTTTTGAGGTATTAAAAAAATCTTTTTTACGGGATCACTCATTTGCTTCATATTTGTTTTTTTATTGATTATTATTATTTTCTATCGGGGACACCTGTGGTAGGATGAGTGATCAGTCCACGTTATCAGGCAACCATTTTCCCTTTCCCCCCTCCTTGCAGAGGTTTTGGGTCATCCAACTCCCCATGTCCCCTTCAAACCTTCCGGTTTGCTTGCAGAATCTTATTATTTTTTCCATCTGTAGTTTTTTGATGTCATCTTCAGTTCATTTTGTATTGACACTGTAAGAAAATATATTTTGCACAATTAGTTATGTTCGAAGTAACTTGAATCGAAATGTTATTGTTATTTCAGGAGGCGGATATAGAAGGTGACTTTGACCCAGAAGAACATGACAGACGGATGAAAGCAATATTTGACGAGGAATACTATGGAGAGGCTGATGATCAAAAACCTGTTTTTCCTGATCTGGATGATGAATTAGAAATTGGTAAGTATATGAAATAATGTAAGATTTGTATGTATTACATCTGAACATGTGTGTGTAAATGTATGTTCTGAAATTGTTGATATGGGTTGCCAACAAACACAATTTTGCTGAAAATGTGAAAACCGCTAATTGCCTTACAAAATTCAATGACTTTTACTAATCCATTATAATATAATACATAAACATAAGTTTTATAAAGGAATTAAACTTTTTCAGAAAACTGGGAGAAGTTCAATGAACATCAAGACAATGAAAATATTCCTGATGGTGAAGCAGCTCACTGTGAAGATGAAGATTTTAATGTAAGAAAACATCAAATTGTTACTTTTAAACGAAAGCATTTAATTAAGTTTATAAATGATGGTTATTTGTTCTAGATGGATGCAGATTATAATCCAAAAGCAATGAAAGAAAACCTTGTAGAGGAATTAAAACGTAATCAAAATAAGAAGCGAAGAAATCGAAAGCGGAAATCGAAGCTTGCTGAAATATTAGCCCAAGAGAAACCTAAGTTTGCACCACAAGAGGAAAAAAGCTATGCTGAATATATGGAAGAATATTATAAGATGGATTGCGAGGATATCATTGCAGATCTTCCCACCAGGTTTAAATACAGAGAAGTTGTGCCCAATGATTATGGCCTCACCGTTGAGGAGGTATTTGTAAAGTGTGCATGAATTTTTGTAATTATTATTTTTTAGCACAAGTTTCATTTTCGTATGATTTTTTACAGATCCTCTTAGCAGACGATAAGGAATTAACACAATGGGTACCATTAAAGAAGATTGTAAGATATCGACCAGAGAATATAGAGAAAAGTGAAGTTAACACATACAAGCAGAAAGCTGCTGATGAGCGACTCAAAAAGAAAATTCTACCCAGCCTTTTCAAGGATTTACCAGAGTAAGTAACTGGTATTAATGATTAGTTTTCGCAATATTGTAGTTATAATCGCAATTTAAAACAAAATAATAAATTATCATTTTGTATGCTTGCAGTGTTCATACCAAATTCAAGTAAATGCCTTTTACAATGTTACAAATCAAACAGTGTAAATAATTAATGTCATTATTATCTTTTTCAGTGAGCCAGAAATAGTGGTACCCCTTGAAGAAACCATCTTGAAAAAGAAAAAGAACAAGAAAAAGAAAAGTCATAAGACCCAAGAGCCAGTTCCTGAAAATAATGATGAATGTAGCAAAGAAACAATTACAAATGAAAAGGATAGCCCTAAAAAGAAAAAGAAGAAAAGTAAGAGAAACAAAGCCATGGATTCTACAAGTGAAGTTAATACTAATGAACAAAGCACTTCAAATAATCAAGAATCATGCTCAAATAATGAAAAGAAAACAATAAGCAAAGCTAAAGAAGAAAATAAGCTAGTGCACAGTAATACAGACGAAGAAAACAAAGAGGAAAACAAACTTCACAGTAGGAAAAATAAACATAAAATGGATAATAGCACAATTACCAACATTGCTAGTGAAACTAAGAAATCATCAATTAATAATAATGATGCCGTTAGTAAGACTAAAATTAAAAACGGTGCTTTTATTGTTGAAGAAGTGGATAAAGAATCAAATAAAGCTAGTATTAATGCTAGAACTGAACATAGACTAGGAAAGAAACGTAAAGCAAGTGGCGGCCATAATGCTATTTCTACTAAAAAAACTAAACATAATAAAACATCAAAGAAAAGTCAAAATACAAATGGAAAAACAAATCCTCTATCAACATTATCTAATGAAAGGCTTAAAGCATATGGGTTGAATCCTAAAAAGTATAGAAGCTTCTTGCGATATAAAAAGTTTTAAATTATAGTGATTATTATCTATTTTATGTAGCAACATTACATAAAAAAATTAAGGAGAATTATTTCCTTCTTAATTGTTAAGTGTTGATTATAAATGTTCATGTATTATAAATATTGCAATATTAAAAATGTTGTTCATTAATTTAAATTCTTTTAAAACATTTTTCACCAAATAATATCTAAAATAAGTTATTGTCTTATTATATAGAAAAAAGCTACATTACATATTTACTATTATCATCGTTTTAAGTACAGATTTATTTCTTAACTAATTGTATCGCGCGTAAGTTCAAATTAAAATGTACTTTCTACTGATCTATGATTTTTTACCATTTAAGTCAGTCCCCGAATAAATAATTACATATTGTTTTTGTAAGCTTAGTACATAGGGCACTTACAAAGTGTTAAAGGTTTTTTTTTTAAATTATTATTAGGTTTCGGAATATTTAAAGCTGAAATAGATCAACAGCGTATCTAATTTAAATGTTATATGGCGAGGGTATTTCACCTTCCATTAAGCGAAACCCATGTTTATCTGTCCTCTATTATGAAAAAAATAAGATAACCAAAATGTTTGCTTTTCTGACCTTCTCCTTAAACCGTAATAAGGGGAACTGTAAGACAAAATGTAAGATAACATGTTAATATTTTGATAAAATTTTTAAAAAGTTTCGTCCTCTATTTCCATCGATCACTAGTATCGTGCGTGTAATTGTGATCGATTTCTGTTTCATTTTTTTTTTTAATATTTAATGGCCTGGTAACAAGACTTTTAAGCCAAGTCTTATTTTCACTTCACACTTCTTATATAACCCTTAGTTTTTTAATGTATTTGTATAACGCTATAACACTTTTGTTTTAAGTAAATATGGGGGGTTTCATATTCTTTGGTCTCGTCCATAGAGTATATGTCTCGTCTATATTTAATGCAACATTGACACAAGACATTAGACAATATACTGAAACCATACATCAACCGTGCCGTCAAAGTTACGACTTATCAACTTAAACGTAATTCTTTTTCCGCGAGCCGTGTGCGACTGAGGTTGGTGCGAATTCAAAATTGTTGTATTTTTATGTTCTGAAAATGGCTTTTCCATCAAAATATGAAAAGAGTTCTCCTGTCCATCGAGTTTAATACGATTTAGGATGTGAATAACGGAGTTTAGATTAAAGTTCGACATGATTTTTATAGATTCTGGTGGCAAAGCGATTCGTCGGTATTTTTAAACGTTTATTGTAGTAATGTTTTGAATGTAAAATAATACTTCTTTGTATGTTCTATTTCCATTTTACCGATATTATCGATACTGTGAAAAATTCTAAGACATATTTAGAGCCACACGTAGTGTAACATAACCTATAAATTGTACTTCGTGTTTTTGTAATTAATCAAAAGTACCTTCCAGCTCGCCATAATGGTGAACAATCGCGTGCCATCAGTCTTTTCCAAGACGTACGTGACGCCTCGTCGTCCGTTCGAGAAGGCCCGACTCGACCAGGAGTTGAAGATAATCGGTGAATATGGTTTGAGGAACAAGCGTGAAGTATGGAGGGTCAAATACACCCTTGCCAGGATCCGTAAGGCTGCTCGTGAGCTGCTTACTTTGGAAGAGAAGGATCCCAAGAGGCTCTTTGAGGGTATGTTAATTTTATTAACATCAAAGCCTAAACCTATAGTTAATAACTTAAGTATAATAATGTTCATGCTACAACATCCACTATTACTTCCAGACACTAAATGCTAAATATACTTAAAGGTTATATTCTTGTAACCATGTGAAGGTTAATAAATAATGAAGATAAAATAAATACCAACAAGACTTAACTAAATCTATATTTTAACTGATGAAATATCATGGCAACCTCTTGTCATAATATAAATTGATGACATATTAAAAACTGACTACCTAAGTATAGGTTAACCCAACTTTACCATGTATCCTACATCTTTTAATAGCTGTTTTATTAAAGGTAATGCACTGCTGCGTCGTCTTGTCAGAATTGGTGTACTGGATGAGAAGCAGATGAAACTCGATTATGTGCTCGGTCTGAAGATTGAAGACTTCTTGGAACGTAGGCTGCAGACACAAGTGTTCAAGGCTGGTCTCGCTAAGTCTATCCATCATGCTAGGATCCTTATTAGACAGAGACACATTCGGTAAGTTTATAGCTTTGATTAATTTAAAATTTAGACCTGTCTTGTCATGTCAAAATTTCGATTTCTTTGTGAGAATTAATGTTTCTCATGCTTCACACTTAAAATTATATAGCATTGATAACCACAATTACACAGGTGATTGGAGTGTTCCGGATGAAGCCGGGTATTTTGATTTTCATTTAGACCACTTGATCATTAAGTCTTAACTTATGATCAATGTCTTGAAATTTTACACTATTTGAACTTTTAAAGAGGTAATGTATGTCTCTATTATTATCTTCGTCTCAGTATTGTAACATAATACATTAGCATAGAGAATTATTTGTCATACTCATTTATATTGCAAGAAAGCCAAATTGCTAATAGTTTTTGTATTAACACAGCTGTTTTATTTAACAGGGTTCGCAAGCAAGTCGTGAACATCCCATCATTTATTGTTCGTTTGGACTCTGGTAAGCACATTGACTTCTCCCTCAAGTCACCATTTGGTGGTGGCCGTCCCGGACGTGTCAAGAGGAAGAACTTGCGTAAGGGACAAGGCGGTGGTGCTGCTAATGATGAAGAAGAAGATTAAGTGTAATAAATAACTCATTGGACATTTGGTTTGTTTTTCTAAGTTTTGGACACCCTATTACCTCATATATAATAACTACACATGGGATATGAATGAAATACTTAAGAATTTCTATTAAAATCAAAGGGTATATATTTTTATAAACATTAAATAACATCTAAATTTGTAAATAATAACATATTAAAAAAATTTAAAGTCTAAAGTAATACATTAAATTGCTCAGTGTTTGTAATATCATCTAATACTGAAAATTATTATTAACCACAGTGACAAAGATTTTAACAGCTTTCAAAACTATCAATTGTTTTTGTTAATTTACTTGGATGATTACAACTATAAAATATTGTCTACCAAGCCTCGTATTGGAATGATGTGTAGATAAGTTTCTATTGTATTCTTAGTGACTAAAGGTACAGAAAACTGGTAACCTTTTAGCATCTTAACATTGAAATAGCCTCCATTTTTTATATGATGACTACTAAAGCCTCACTCCGATATGTTCTTATCAAGATCTAGTTCTTTCAGACATAAATCTATAATCCTCTCGAGCGCATGCGCAGTTAGTTCCGAGCTGTAGATCTTCATATCGGGCACATGTACAAATAGCGTGCGCGTGTTGTCGATATTCAATGATGTGTAGTAGGTGTATTCACATAAATACCTGAAATTAGAATACATGCTTTAGTGACTGTATAAGATAGCCATGTTGCGTAGGTACTGAGATTTGAGCTGTTAAAGGGAAAGTACTTCTTTTAAAATGTCTTCAAAACAGCAGCAAAATTTGTTGATAGCCATTATGTGGTATGGCTGGGGTATTTTACTTTCAACAAAAAATTACATTCCTTTTTAAAAATGTTGTATTTTAATATTGCTGTAGTTATTGTTACCTTCCTGCATCCAAGGAGACCACGGCCTTTGCTCCACTTGGAGGATCATCATTAAAATCACTGCATATTTTTTCTATATCCAGTTTGGTGTGAATGCGGATCGCACCACTGCTGGTACAAGTCTGATTTGCAGGACATTTGTCAAAGTAGTCCATACGTTGATAGCCCTTCCTGTGAGCTTGTTTTTCTAGAGTTAAATCTTGAGCTATTTTCGATACACCCACATGGATCATTAACTAAATTTGAAGATTTTTTTATAGTTAATAAGATGAGAATTAATAATATATAAATGGCCATATACATATATGTATAATTATTAAAGTATATCAATCAAGGTACATAAGGATTAGATTAAATTCATTATAAATGGAAAAAACGTTCTCTTGACAGTTTTTGAACCGCTCTGTTGCTCAAACCAATTCAACTACTGAGTCCTACACGTCATCGTCGAATTTTTTCAACCTATTGAATATATGGACCTCTCGCGCAAAAAAATCGGTTTTTTATTTTAATCTATTTATATATTCGTGTTATCATGTGCGAAAAAAATGAAAGTTTTTCATAACTAATAGGAATAACGAAGATATTACCTTAGGTTCATGTGTCTCCCACAAAGCGGGAATAAATTCATCAACATTTTCATAAGTGACAGGTATTTCCAGTTGAACAAGTTCTACTTTGTGTTCTCTTTCGATTTTATCTTTATCGAGCAGCTTTACCGCTTCCCAGCTTGCATTTATCGGATGATTAACAAATGGCCCAAAACCAGTGACTAGAACTATTGGTTTAAATAAATAATCTAGGCCTTCCATGTTGTTAACTTATAAATGTACAAACGACTAGTCATAATAGACACTCGATGTTAGAGTAACTTTATCATTATCACAACAATGTGAGATAAATACGTGGTATAGTGAAAGGTATTTGATACAACTCCATGTTTATAATTCTTTTATATTGATAAGAGTCAGCTGATGCCTGATTAGTATACCGGAAGGTTGGTACCAAGTTAGTAAGTAGGGCGCAGTAGTAGTAGTAGGGATGTAATCAAATTCAGAGACTAAATGTCTTCTGACCACAAATCTATAGACTGATCTGTGAACAAAAACTAATGTTATCATTACTCATTATTATTATTTTTATTTATATATTATATACTAAACACTATAATATTGAGTATAGAAGCTTTCTGTTAAATTTATAATTTAATATACTTGTATCTAAGTTACAAAAAATATACGGTCAAAAAGACTTGTATCCGTAGAGATTGGAAATGTATTTAAAAAAATAGTAATATGAATACAATATGGGTATTTTATATCCATAGGTTTGCATACTTTTCGCAAGTTTTGATATTATGACTATGTGATCCCAGTTGCTTAAAAGTATTTTATAAAAGAATTAAGTACCGTATTGCTTAACTTATTCACTTGTAGCTTGCTTAGTTGAACTTTGACGTAAATGAACTTTAGTGGTGTTATGAGGTTATGTTAGAGGTTACCAATTTCATTTTTGATCTTGTTATAAAGCTTGTAAAATGACGGAAGGCGAAACTGCTAACACTTGCAAAGTCGTTGCGATACCCTGGCCTTCCGTAAAGAGAAAAGTAGAATGTGCTGGTGCCGCGTATTTAAGATACCATAACATTAAATGTCATGGGGAAGATACACTTCTGCAGACGTCAACATCGAAAGATAAAACTGAAGAAATTATTTTTGAAGACAATGTTGAATATTTGCGCAGTTTGGATCCTAAGGAATGGAAAAAACAAGACCATTATGCAGTTCTCGGTATGAAAGATTTACGTTTCGAAGCTACAGATGATGATATTAAGAGAGCATACCGTCAAAAAGTATTGAAACACCACCCAGATAAACGCAAAGCCCTAGGTGAGGAAGTGCGAAGCGATGACGACTACTTTACTTGCATCACAAAGGCGTATGAAATACTTGGTACTCCAAAAATTAGAAGATCATTTGATTCTGTCGACCCTACATTTGATGACTACGTTCCGACCTCCAGCGATATAAAGAGAGAAGGTTTCTACAAAACATTCTCAAAATACTTTGAAATTAATGCCAGGTGGTCAGAAAAGAGGAATGTTCCATTGTTGGGTGATGAAAATAGTTCACGTGACTTTGTTGAAAAGTTCTATGCTTTCTGGTATGAGTTTGACTCTTGGCGGGAGTTTTCTTATCTGGATGAGGAAGAAAAGGAAAAAGGAAGTGACAGAGAAGAACGACGATGGATTGAAAAGCAGAACAAGGCAGCTCGTGCAAAGCTAAAGAAAGAGGAAATGGCTAGAATTAGAAATCTAGTAGATCTTGCATATGCTAATGATCCTAGAATACAAAAGTTTAAGCAAGAAGATAAAGACAAGAAGCTTGCTGCTAAAAGGGCAAGACAGGTAATACATTATTAAAAATATTTGTATATATGTATTTGTTAAGTTAAATGACACAACACAAAAAATAAATACCACATTTTTTATCAATTACAGGATGCTGTTCAAGCAAAGAAAGCAGAGGAAGAAAGGATACGAAAAGAAGAAGAACTTGCTAAACAAAAAGCAGAAGAGGCAGAAAGAGCAAAAATTGAAGCAGCAAGAGCTGAGAGAGAACTTCAGAAAAAAAATCTTAGAAAAGAAAAAAAGTCTTTAAGAGATTTATGCAAAAATCACAGATACTTTGCAGAAAATGATGAAGAAACAGTTACTCATATGGCAGCTGTAGAAAAAATTTGTGAAATAATGAAGTTAAATGAACTTCAAGACTTCATCAAAGCTTTGGAAACAAATGGTAGAAATGTTTTTCTTGCAACAATGAAAGATACTGAAGACAAATTAGAAGCTGAACGTCATGCTCTGTTTGAAAACAAAAAAATTGAAGAGCAAAAGTCCAAGAAGAACGCTGCTTTGAAAGCGCCCATGGAGTGGTCTGTGGAAATGACCCAACTGTTAATAAAAGCTGTAAACTTATTTCCAGCGGGAACCAACCAAAGGTGGGATGTGGTAGCTAATTTTTTAAATCAACATGGCACTTTTAAGGATGACAGAAGATTCAATGCTAAGGAAGTTCTCAATAAAGCTAAAGAT